AGTTTTAAGTCTCTACATATTAAATGTGTGAGATTCAAGGACTTCATATGATTTAAAACAGTTTTTGAAAGATTTTGAGTCATTTACATTTGTGATAGATGGTAATGGCCACGCAAGTCCCCTTAGTCTATAGTGTCATACCACACAAATCAGAGCTTTAGTGCTGTTAAACATACCGCTTCAAAAGCATAAATTGCTGGTAAACACTTTGTTAAATAATATTTAGTGGGACAGAGAGAAATATACATACAAATAGAGGATATCTTAGTGTAAATCAAGATCAAATTTTTCTCTTGAAAGTGTAAACCATAGATCAAGTCTTGAGATGTCAGTGTGTATGGGAAGAGTGGAGGAAGGGATGGGTATAGATTTTCCCCCCCACAGGTGCCAAAGTAGTATACTGCAGGAAATCACTTAAAATAACTCTCCAGTCTGTTCAAAAGAAGTATAATTTTATAGCCATAATTAGTATCCAGTGTTTGTCTTCCACTAAAAACTAAATGATCCACAAAGAGAAAATGGAGCTCTTTTCTCTATAGTTGTTCCTGGCCATCTTGGATACGAAATACTCAAACCCTTTTTGATCTTATTCAACAAATAATACATTACCATTACCCAGAAAGCCTGTGCATATTTTCACAGAACCATTGCGCTGAACTTAACTCCTTTTGAAAACCTTCTATTCAAATAGCCCTGTGAGTAGACAATAACGTACTGATAATTTTTCAGATATTATTGTTTTCTTCAATCAAGACGTTCAATACATTTTTAAGAAAACAAAACAGATAAAGAAAGGCAATATCTGAGAACTGGAATGAAACTGTTGCAGAAATAACATTGCACTGGACAGTAAAATTAAGTAATTGGGAGGTTATTACTAATTAAATTGAATGAACTTGCTGAGAGGTTCTGCTTTTTTTTTTTTTTTTTTTCTCCAGAAGACAGAAAAATTTAAAAATATTATTGAAAAGTAACCAAGATCCTTTATGCTTCTTAGAAATATTGACATTCAGACTCCCAGACATACATATCCAGAATGAAGGACCCAGCTAATGTCTATGCAAATACAGGAGCATAAACTTTGAAGCAAATAGTGCAATAAAGCAGTAATAGCCCTCACCTGATAAAACACTTCTTAAGCTATTTTTAATGAGTTTTTAAAATACATTAAGGGTAACAAGCTTTTTTTTCTGCACCTCTTTATGGTTTTTGAATACATAGGACAATATAAAAATTCTAAAACTAAACAAATTCTACTCTATTTTGGTAAGAGGAAGCAAAATATTTATTTACAGGAGGATGTTAGAGAAGGTTTGCACACATAACAAAGGGAAACAGATAATGGAAGTACACTGAAATACAGCATCACACAAGATATCACAGGAAATATCGAGTGAAAAATTTAGTTTCATATGAGAAGACCTAATTATGTTCTCCCTTCATGCTCTTCCTGGAAGATGTCACAAAACGTGCTGTTATTATTGTTTATCTCCTGTCTGAGTTTTAGAGAACTTTAAAGGCTAAAACAGTTACACCTCTAGCTAGATGCTTTTCTCATAAATAATTTAATTCATATCAATGCTCTTACTTGTAAGCACCTCAAGTCAGAAGAACACTTTCATATGTATTTTTATCATGCTTAAGCATAGGTTGACACACATCACAGAATCACAGATTAAGCTGAGTTGGAAGGGACCCCCCAGGATCACCAGTTCCTGTTCCAGTCCAGTTCCTGGCCATCCACAGAACCATCCCCAGGAGTCACACCATATGCATGAGAATATAGTCAGTCTTGGATAACACAGCTAAAAACAAAGACCTTTTCAAGTCCAAATGAGTGTTTATACCAGCCATGTTCATAAAAGGGATATTGCTGCATGTTCTCAGAAATATGAATAAAATCAAAATAGATAGTCTCTATTTCTTCAATCCATGACTATTTTGTGATACCTCAATCTGTGACTACAAAACTGTAATACAGCTGAAGATCCTATATCACACAGATCTCCCCACTGCATTTGTGAGGCAGCAGCATCATAAGGAGAATTTCTCTCAACATTTCTCATTGACTTTTCTCAGAGCACACAAATCATCTATCAAAGATGTGCTTGTCAGAACCACGATGCAACAAATGCCTGGAAACTTATGCTTAAATTTAAGTATGTTGTCAATCTTACCACTTTCAATATAGTTATACATGTTCTGAGACACATTAATTCAGCATTTTAACAGAAAAGCGACCCTTGAGAGATGATCATAAACACGCTGTTTCTTTAAATTCACTGCAGGGATTTAAATGCAGCATGACAATGTCCTGAAAATACTCCATAAACCTTTCCTCAGAGCTGGAGACTTAAATCAGATAATAACTCTAGAAAAAGAAAATTATTCTGGCTAAAACTGAGCTGTTATTCAAACTCTGGGGGAGGAATATTGGTATCCTAGAGTACAGTGTTTGTGGCTACCAGTAACATGATTAGTCAAAGTCTCTTCTAGTGCTCCATGCACATTTCTTTGAATGCATTTAGTTACAGCCATAGTGTGATTTCCTGGGCTAAAAATCTAACTAGAAAATATGAAGTAAAATTTACAGAAAGTCTTCTTTACTTTATTTTTCTTACTCAGCCATTCTGTTGATCATAAGTGTGTCTTTGCTTTTGACTGACTGATATAAAGACTCCATATTTCCAGCAAAACATATAACCAGAAAAATAACACTGAGCAGTTCACCATCTTTCATGCCTCGAATGAATACTACATCAGATAAATCATTTAGATAAAGGTTATACTCTGTTGTGCTTATATTCAAATAAACACATTTATAACACAAACTAGTTATTTACACCACTATCAAAATATTGTAACTTTGATTCTACTCTTTTTATAAAGTCAGCCAGGTACATCAATGGGTTTATTTGATTTAGTATTCTTAATGTAACGTTAATTTATGACAGATTAGAGTCCCAACCTCACTCTTTTTACACTAGACATGGGATGATCCCTGATGATCTGCATTGCAGAATGCAAGTTTCTTACTGCAGTGCTTGAGAATCTTTGAATGTGAATTGTTCGCATTAATGTGAAAGAGTCCACCAAGATCTAATAGTGAGCATAAAATGGACATTTAAACCTTAAGTCTAATGACAAAACAAAGACCAAAGGAAGAAACAAATATTTATTCATGATAACATTTGAGTCTTCCATCAGCCATATCACCTGTCAGTCTTACTGTCTACAGTAAAGCTGACAGAGAGAAGGAATAACTTTTCAAAAATTTTATAAGAAAATCTTCTGAGTTATCTATAAGTGTTTTAATTTTATTTCTAGAGAAGATTGTAATGTTGCTTTTAATGTTTGAGCCAAGCTGTATTCTTTCACAAAAACATAAGAAAGATTAAAGTGGAAAGAAGCTTCAAATCTGAAAATGATTTTATTGGTTTTTTGGTCTCTTTCTGTCTTAGGTTGCAAATGCAAGATGTGGCCAGAAGTATGTATTCTATTGCCGTGTGTTAGAACACAGTGCAGCAGGTTTTTTAAACCTCTTCTACAATCCATCCTCCCTCCGGGGAGATTTCTTCTGTTAATGAGCCATTGAGTCACTGCATGATGATGAAATTACATCGTCCCATTGTGAGATACTCTGCCCATGGAGAGGAGCCAAGCATTCCTACCTGGGTATAATCTGAGATTTGGAACATCAGAGCAGCCTTTTCCACAGGATTCCCAGAGGAAGACCAGCCCATCTACACCATCACTGGACCTTCAGAGGATCCCTTCTACAGGATCACTGCTTCGACAGAACCACACCTGTCACTGCAGGAGCACTGCAGCCACCATTTAATGGGACTGCTGCCAACACCCTGACCAACAGTGTCAGGTCATATTCTAACTCTGTCAGTGTTGTTTTGTATTACTGCGTTTTTATTTTTCCTTTTATTTTTCCTAATAAAGAACTGTTATTCCTGCTCTCATATCTTTACCTGAGAGCTCCTTAAATTCAAAATTATAAATCGGAGGGAAGGGGTTTACATTTTCCATTTCAAGAGAGACTCCTGCCTTCCTTGGCAGACACCTGTCTTTTCAAACCACAACACTTTCTCTCTCAGAACCCATCTGAACCCTTTCATGTTCAAGAAAGACATATCCTACTTGGCTTATTTCTTAGAAATGATAGCTTCTCCACCTGCAAGTAGCAACAGATCTGAGCTCTAGTTTGTCAGTGTGACAGCACTGAGTGGTATTATAACAATAAAATATTGTAGAAAAATCTGTCTGACTCTATTCAGGGATTCTTTTAAATCTTCAGAACTAAACTGAAAAAAGATACTACCAAAAAAAAAAAAAAAAAAAAAAAAAAAAAAAAAGAAATTTCTTTTGTACAAGCCATTATTACATATGACCTTGTCTCCTTTTTGATTCTTAGAAGATATGAGAATCTTTTAATAATCACAGAAATAAAAAGTTTTATGGATCACAGAAATAAAAAGTTTAGAGAATGGATCAGATGACAGACTCAAACTCCTCAAATTCTATCCCAGCTATCAATATAGCATATTGATATCGTATATGTGTGTTATTGCAGTATGAGTTTAAATCTGACATTGATATTTGAAAAAATCTATTTAGCTTGTGGTCCGTGGCTCTTCTAAGTGTGAAATAAAAACATTACCCCATAGATTGAGAACAAAGTTGTAGCAATTCTAGGGCACATCCCTATACTGGGAAGGTTTGAGGCATTCCCAGGGTGAAACAATGGGTTTCAATCCTCCTTGAAATTGAAAGTGTCTTTAGAGTAACAGCAGAACTACCCCAATAAATTTAAAGTTAAAAAAAAAAAGGGCGATCTAAAGTTCAGATAAATTATCAAGCCATACAACTAAAATTAATTTTCTTTAAAGTCATGAAAGGGAAGATTATTTCCTTTTCTAAAATATTATTCATTCTGTGAAAGTCCTAAATGTCAGAAAAGTGATCCCAAACAACCCCCAAACAAGTCTTACCGATGATGAAGAGAATTTCCACTGCAATGTCACTGACAGTTGTGCTTCGAGTTGTAGACAGCTCATCATGGCCAATAAAGGAAACATTGTAAGGTACAGTCACAGCAACATAAAACGTTGCCAGTAAAATAAGCCAGTCCCAGCCAGCTTTAAAAGTGCTAAAATGCAGCAATATGAATTTGGATTTTTTTGCATCTGAAACTTTGTATTCTGGAAATGCTGGTTTATCTACAAAAACATTCTGAAAAAGAGAGAAAAAATTAAACAAGACAAAACAATTATTTGATTACACAGAAGCATTTCTTGTAATGGAGCCTTTAGGTGGTTGATGGTTTTGTAAAAAAAATCATAATAGCATATGCAGGCAAGGACAAATGTTAATTTTTTTCTAACCGAGGCCTCACATTCATTTATACGGGTGTTCAAGGAATAGCTTTTGTGAATGTTGAGGCAGGAAGAAGACTAATAAGTTACAGATTAAGTGGAGTAAGAGGGTACTGCATTTGGCAAACTATTTCTTCCTCTTTTGAACTAATTATCACTGCAGAGCAATATTATTCTACTGGACAGATAGGTGAGCGCTTTGTATACACAAAGACATAGCACTGTAAATAGGAACATATGGGAAGAAGTAGGTTCTTTCAGACTATCTCTAGCCTGGTCCTAGGGATTGAACAGCTCCAGTACTTGAAGCACCTCTCCTAGTTTTGTTTCATCTACAGGAGTCCAGTTCATGTGAATGAAAGCATAATTAGTAGGAATAATGTTTTGTTTTTCTTTAAAATTGCACACCTGATCTAAATCAAAATATTAATCTACTACAATATGTCTCCAGAACTGACTACCTTTCTCACTAGATTAGTTTGTCTTGAGTCTGTGTCTTACCACTGTTCTATGCAACCAAGATTTCAGCGTTAAGCTGTAGAAATTCTTAGTTTTCACCTTTCATAGCTTTAACAAAAAACACCTGCCTTCCCAAAAAAGCAGCATGTGGGACATGACCTGTCTTGCATTATTTACTAACAAAATTCATGCTCACTGTTACTGCGCTCCTGGCTAATGCTGTTCCAGCAGCAAAGAGCCTCCCAAAACAATATTGTGCCTTCAGCAAGCTAAGATTACTTCTGAAGTTATTCACTATGAAATTAAAAAGACAAAACCTGCATAACTGTAGACTTAACTACATTTGCCTTGTCTGTCACAGCCTTTGTCTTTGTGTTTCCTTTGAAATACTGATGTCATTGTCTTCTCTATTCTTGATTCTTATTCATGAATTTAAGCAGCTGAATTCTCACTGTTCTTAGAGTCAGCCCATTTTTTAATCACAGAAAAGAAAGCATTTCTCATATTATTTCCAACACATAGCTCCAAAAATCCATGCACTAAGGCTAATGAATTAGTCTCAGAATAAATGTTTTAACATGGTAAAATAACATCCGCACTAGCATTTTGACAGTACAGGTAAGGCATCAAACATTATTTAAGAGTCATATTCCTAAAAAATATTATCATATTACCATACAATGAAAATGTTCCTGGAACACCTGGTCATAGTTTGCAGGTTTGTTTTTTTATTATTATTATTATGCTTCTTCAACATGAAACACTTGTAACTTAGAAAAAAAAAATCATTTTTCAACATTTAATCTTTTTTCAATATTTAATATTTAAATTCAATGGAAGTAGTTGTATGCCCTATGACATATATGCCAGTTGTGTATTTTCATGCCCTTAATCTATAGCCAGTCTTTTCAAACTTTTAATTTGTACTGCACAAAGCAGGAGAGTTATTTTTTCTCATTAACATTTCTTTAGAAGTCATTCAGTTGCTATATTTTTGGTTTGTCTATGGTTTGATTTAGTGTTAGAATCATTAACAGCATGTTTTGTGAACTGACTCATTATTTATAGTTACTGGGGGAATACAGAATTAATTTGAAGACAGAAACATTACTACTTCAATTATGAAATTAAAATATAAATATCACAGTATAAAGTTGGAGAAATTTACATGAAAACTTCCTAAATGAAATGTGACCTTTTGTAGCTTAACAGCATTAAAAGTTTCAGCTAGAGGAAGACTTTGAGTCTCTTTTTTTTTTTTTTTTGGGCAAATAGTAATAGTTGAGATAAAATAATTGAGATGACAAGGTAAATTGGGACCTAAAATTCTGAGAGCTTGTGGAATCTAAGTCCTGAGAAATTTTATAATGTGGCTTTCATGGGATTAAATGTCTGTTTATAGTATGATTAAATGCACTGTCTTGCTATATGGTAACAAACGCCACAGTAGGAAGAAACATGCTTCAGTGAGAAACATTCTAATCCTTGTTGCTGTAAAATTGTGATCAGGATATAACCCAAGTACTCCCTGACATTTTACAGTAGTTTAATTTTTTTTTCTAAGTTAGTGGAAAGGCTACTTTTTCTTTTTTTTTTTTTTTTTTTTTTTCTGGAGGTGTAGGGGAAGAAAAGAATTTCACCTACATTATTAATTTTTAATTTGTTCTTCTCTCTTCTTTGTAGATGTCCAGAGATGTGATAAAGGACAGCTCTACTCCGTCTGCGTGCCGACTCAAAATGCGATCCTGCTCTTCCTCTTCCTTTCCATTTTTCTGCAGAACAGAAGTGAGGGTGCATTAAAGATCAGGAAATAACACTTTAACCTTTGGGACCTGAACTACTGACATTTCAGACATTGGTAGAAATGTAAATATTATGCACACCTTTTCTTTTGCTTAATCTTTTGCAGCAAAGAAACAAAACCCCCCTCTCCTGAAGGGCAAATAAAAACCACTGCAGTTTTAATTGTCAAATGCCTTCACACAACTCAGAAGCAAGTAATTGCAACATTTGATTTCACACTTAAGATAAATGTACTCTGTACAGTTTCAGACCAGAGGGAAGGATGTCTAGAAGTAATCACTGAAAATATTCTTGAGGTAATCCTACTCTTTCCCTCACTTCACAGAAAAAAAAAAAAATTCCTTTGGGATTTTTAAAAACAGAGTCTGACTTGTACTAGTCTTCCATTATGTCAGAATATGCTAATTTGTAAGCTTGCTCATTAGTAATAACCAATTCTTACATTCATGTGTTTAGATTCCTTTTCCCACCACATGGCCACTGGCAAAATCGTGTGGCATATTCCTTGGTGACATGAAACCCATTAAGAGTAAAGACTGAACATTATTTTGGAAAGGTTTGTGGTTTTTACCTCCATTCAGATGTCTGTAATTGTCAATCATGGGAACAAATTTTGTTCTTGCTTGTAAAGCAGTAAATTCAAAGTAATTCTAGTCACTCTGATGGAATTACAGTGAATTGATGCCAGAGTAAATGAAAGCAGACTTTTTGTGATGTGTCAGGATTAAGAAAAAAGAAATTATGGGACTAAAGGAAGAAGCCGTCTGTCAAAGAGGTTTAATTAAAGTCAATTGAATACATACAAATTAAGGGGGAAAAAATTAACAAAACACAAGACTAATTAGCAGAGCCAGAATTTAGAAGCAATCAAAATAGCTACATCTTGAAACCTGCCTAGAAAAGCAAGAAAGATTTGTATTATAGGAGACTGATGTATTTTTGGCTTAACAGCACAAAACCATACATAACAAAATGTGTAGGAGGAAAAATTTTCCAAACTTCTCTTCTTCTTTACTTCAAGAAATTTCCATGTAACTCATGCAAAAGCACTCTCTAACTGAGGATTTTTTTTTTAAACTTGTCAGTAAAGAGAAGGGGGAAAAAGAAAAGTAAAAAAAACAAGAAGGGAAATCTTTGTACTGCAAAGCCAAATAGCTACTCAAAAGTTGAAGGGGGCAGATGAAGAAGCCTCACACTTTTCCATCTCCAACACACATTGGTATCAGCTACAACGAAGAATAACAGAACAAAAGCACATTATTTTGGAGAAAACCAAAATAAATTAATGTTGTTTTTTTCTTAAAAAATAATCTCTCAATCATCAAACCACTTACACTCAAACTAAATTTTGAATCTTCTTAAATTCTGGGTAAGAACAAAATGCTTATCTCTTTCTCTGAGGAAAAATTAATTTAAGTCAGTTGAAGTTGGTCTCTGCTGTAGAATTGTTCAGCTATAGTAACCTGGTTTTGTCCTATGGCTTGAAAATTCTCTTTATTTACAGGCCTCTCTTTTTCCCTTTCTCAACCTAAACTGCCATGTTGTTTGAAGCCACTCAGTTCACTCTACTGCTTCCAAAAGAAGTCAATAAAACAGGCTTCAGGTCAGCTGGGAGGCAGGCTGGGAAAACCCTTTTCTTGAGCTTCTGGCCAGCAATGCTTTTGAGATTCTTTAGCTAAAGGCTTCATCCTCATGCTGGCCCTATCTAATACCTGTCCTTGTCCTAAGCCTATAGAGCCCGAGGCAGTCCCTGCTGGCAGATGGCAGATGAAACAGCCTTGGTGATGTGATCTGTTGTGAGACCCACACCGAGCCGTGCTCAGAAGGCAAGCCTGGTGCCTTCAGGTGGTATCCTTGAGTTCTTTCAACAATCCCCAGCAATACGATGCCTACCAGCATGGACCTGGATCTCCCTACCTCTGGTCAACCTTGGAAGTCTTCTCTTTACCTCAGCTAGATCACCCATGCCATTTAAAATATATTCTTTAAACATATCTTTTCAGTAGCTATGTGCAGAACAACATGCAGCTTTCAAGCTATGGATATACGATTGCCTGGTACAATGGTGTAATACTGCCTTCAGGCTTTTTCTTTATAACTCCTAAAGCTCAGGTGTGCCCTTCTGTCCTATGCTGAGCACTGACCTGAAAGCTGTTCACAATTCTATCTCTTTCCAGAATGCCATGAGACTATGGCAGCAGTTGATGCACACATATTCAGTTGATTTTTCCCCCCCCCATATATTTACTGATACAGAGTTTCACTTTCTATCCGCTCTTTAAATGAGGACAGGTTCCTTATAAGATTTTAAAGTTTATGGTCCAGCAGCCTGACAATTTTTGGCTTTACACAGATTCTATCTCTCCTACCTAGGTTCAGAGTTTCAGTCCCTAATCTGCTCAGGCTGTGGAACTTGATATGGTGCTTAGAACCAATACCAATTGCATATTTTCACAGTCAGTGGCTTCCATCACATGCTGATTACACTATTTGCAAAGGACTAATGCTACCTCTGGGTCACTCAACTCCTAGAGACAGAAAAGCATGCATCAATAAGGAAAGCATTATATTAATTATAAAGTAGTAATTCTCTTACTAACCAGAATTGGCAAAAAAGTTTTTACAGTTGTTATTAGAAGTGAAAAAAATTTGAGTTTATTGTAAGATGCCATCAGAGCATATGTCAGTAGTTTATAAATAAGTGAATGACATTTGTGAATTCTCCTGCTTTCTGGTCTCCCAATGTCTTCAGGAAAGGAATAAATTCTGAGCTTTAGCAAACTACATTGTTCAGGTGTGCATCTACAAGTGTGTGATTATTTTCTGTTACTTCCCTCTTGTCATACTCAGTTCACAGCTCACTATTCTGAAAGAGACAGCTCATTTTTTATAAACTCCCATCTGTTTCTCTCTGGTCCTTCAAAAATTTAGGCACCTGACAGACTTGATTTTTATTTTTTTCCATGGCTGATTTTAGAAAAAAATATCCAAGAATAAAATCAACCATAAGCAGAAAGTCACTTTAATACAACTGGCTTATTTTTGCCCTGTGCTTAAAATCAAAAGGACTTCTCATCTCCACAAATGCAATGAGAAATACTGTTCTAGAAAAATCCCAGATTTAGGGGTCTATTTCTTGGTGATTCTACACACCCCTTCCTGTGTAATGGTAATCCCCTCCCCAAGACAGCTCCTAAAAAGGATGCTTGTAGTTTAGTCTTGCCTCCCCTTTATCAGAAAAGTGGTAATACATTTTTTAACTCTTACTGCTGTCCTTCTGGTTGCTCTACTTTCAAATGAACATAGGTATAGTACCACAACCATCAGACATGACAATTAAAAAATATTTTGTAAGAAAATAAAATAACTGAACACCTCTTTGCTGAGCTTAACATTAGCCTCCTAACAGCTTAAGACTTACAGTCTTGTGAGGGAAGGTTGCAGTAAAAGAAAGCACATCCAGACAAAAATGTCTTTGTAACTCTTGTCTTTTCTTGTGTTTTTATAAGAACATGAGGCTTCAATCATCTATTTAAGGTTAATAGAAAGGGGAGGCATAACTCTTTTCTTGTCCCTTTGGAAAAAAACAAAAGATCCATTTCTTTGGTATAAATCAGAAATATAAACCCTGACAACTTCTGACAAGCTTTCATAGGTATATGCTGCCCCAGCAATGCAGAACTGGAAAGTCAGCTTTACTGACTAAATTGACACCAAATATATGTCTGCTCTCCTTCTAAGCAGTTCATTGAATCCTAGAATAAATTAGGTTGGAAAGGTCCTTAGGATCATCAATTCGCAATCACTAATTGTGAACTCCACCACTAAACCATGTCCCCAAGTGCCACTCTGATGCAGCTTTCAAATACTTTCAGGTGTGGTGACTCAACCACTTCCCTAGGCAGCCTGTTCCAAGCTTGATAACACTTTTGGTGAAGAATTATTTCCTAAAATCAGAATAGTCAGAGCATAGCATTAGATAGAGTCCAGAATTCTTTATTATTTATAATGATCTCATTCTCCAGGTAAGTCTGACACATTTATAGAATCATAGAATCATGGAATGGTTTGGGTTGGAAGAGACCTTTAAGATCATCTAGTTCCAACCTTCCTGCCATGGGCAGGGACACCTTCTACTAGAACTGGTTGCTCAAAGACCCGTGAAACCTGGCCTTGAACACTTCCAGGGATGGAACATTCACCAGTTCCCAGCTGTTCCAGTGCCTCCCCCTCTCTTAGTGAAGACTCAGTAACCCTGATTTGACCAAGAAGCACTATGCTCAGTCCATAGCAGACAACCTGTGGCATGAGAGAGACCATGACATGCATTTTTTTCCAAATACCAAAATTAACTAACCTGCTCTGGCCAGAAAGTTTGCACTTTATTTACAAAAAAATGTCTCAGCCTTGGTAGTTTTTCCTCATTCTTTGTAACATTCATTCATATCCCTTCAAAAGAACTGCTTTCACTTTTCTCATTCTTGCATTAATTAAAACCACTACCTACAATTCTGTCTGGTGTGATACATACCAAATATATTCTTGCATGAAAACATCTCCCAGTCTGATCATGGGTCATTACCCATGATTTTGTACTGAAAATTTTCAATACAAATATGCATGGACATAAAATGGAAAATTAAGATCTAACATTTCATTCACAAGACACAGGAAAATACAAGAGATTTGCCCATGTTTACCTAAAACACAAAGCATGAATAAAATCAATCTGCACCTCTCAAATTTAAACCAGAACACAATATCCTGGCAGCATGTGAATGAAATAGAGGGATGATGCAAAGTAGCCTGGGAGTTTAGTTATGGAAGCACATGCACCACTGAGTAACTTTATTCAGTTATATATGGTATTTCCACTAACAACCAGTGTGACAGAATTATCCTAAAGGCTATAAAGCTGCAGACCTGGATCTCTAAGCAGTATTTCTGCAGTACAGTGGCCAAGGAAGAC